TTTAAACCTTGGCCATTGCCTGAACCTCCTCCATCGGCAGTCGTTGCAGACATTGTATCTCCAGGTGGATTATTCGATACTGAAGCTATCTCTCTTTCCACAATAGAAGCAGGTCTTTCCATTCCAATATCATTTCCACGTAACTGTTTTGGCTTGCCTTGTGGGGATATGTTTGGTTCTTCACGAAGTCGCTTGCTCCTTGGTCCTAAAGTCAATCGTTTCATGCCAAAGTATGCTTTTCCCAATGCTCCACCGTAATCTTTCCAAGTAAAATCACGTAATGCCTTTTCATCAGCTTCATTCCATTCAATATAGGGGTTACGACCCATTTTAAGTAGTTTATCGTACCCAATGTCGTGTTTCAGAGCAACTGCATCGTTCTTGTTAGTGGGAGAACCTTTATTCAACTTATTAAAAGGTCCTAGGTACTTGTATCCTGGTAGTGTTAAGTCTCTCATTGAAAATTACTCAGTGACACTAGTTTGAACACCATAATATGCATCTTTTACTAGTTTTTGAAGCACATCTTCACTTGGTACTTCTTCACCAGTTGGTATGTTGCGCAAGTAGTCCCAATGTATGAATAGCTTGCGTGGATCCAGGTTACCTTTAAGCTTTAGTCCCGTAATTTCGTACTTCGAGAGCAGCTTGAGTCCGAGCAGTCGCAGAAAGTCACTAACATTAACCTCGAAGAACCGTCGACGTAACGCAGCAAGATTTTCATTTCGACCAGGCATGTCTTCGGGTAGAACGTCTTGTATTCCGAAATTAGACGAGACAAGTGCCGTTGTTCGTGTAAGTTGAGGCGTTTTGTACTTCTGATCAATAGGGAATCCCGCTTCGTCACACAAGGTTTTGATGAATTGAACACCGAGCTTTTCAATGGTCTGGTGATCCAGATCCTGTAAGAGAACATGGGTATGAAACTCTGGCGAGTAGAGATCGAAGAACCGATTGTTAAGATCCTTGTTGTAATACGTCGGATAGATAACTTGTAAGATTGCTGACTTGCCACTGCCAGGTGGACCGGTAATCCAAATATGTGGGTGTCCGCTAGATTTGAAGAAATCTCTCTTTTGATTGATCATTGCTTTTAGTTTCTCTCCATACGTAAGAAAGTTCCTAGGAAACTTGGCAAACGCTTCCTTCTCATGGCCTTCTTCTATCATAGTCTTCATTTCAATGATAATTTCATCCAACTTCCTCTTCTTCTCATGTTCACTTCTTTTTTGAAAACCAACAACACCAGCAGTATCCGTTGGAGGTACTCCACTTTCAAATAATACGAAACACTTGTTAATTTTAGTCTTCTCCTTCTTGTGATGGTCAATCCATCCTTGCACAGGTAGAGTTCTTGTACGTGGAACCAAATAGTATCCATGACCCACTTTAATACCAAGTTGTTTCAAAACACTGGATTTACTAACCCTGTTAGGGTATACCAGACAACAGTGCACGTGACGAATTAAATAGTCATTACGGAAAGGTTGATCTCCAATTTCCACGCCACCAACAAGTACGTATTGGAACTTGTGTTGATCATTAAGCACCTTGACGTTGGCCAAAAGTGTACCTAAATCTTCATCCGTTGGAACGTTGAAGCGAGCGTCCCATTGACGGTCCATGGTGGTGTAG